GCCCAGGGGCGTGGACCACCCGCACCAGATGTTAAGTCGGGCCTGTCCCTCTACAGGAACGAACGAACGAACGAAACACTACATCGGACAGCTGTCCGGGCCTGCTAGAACTAGGTGGGCGAGGCCGTGGCCTCCTGTAAACATACAGACATTCACAGGAACTGCGAGACATACAAAAAGTTGTGGATCTGCGCAACACACAAGAAGTTATGACGCAGAAGGAGAGGAGGAGGAGGAAGTCCTGGTTGTGAATGTCGGCGACGTGCTGATGTATTTGTGCTCGAGTATCGACCACGTGGTGGTATCTTGAGCTGAGCGAACCCAAGTGAGGTCGTTCGGTTTGCCCTGCTCATTGGTTGGTGTGGGCGCTTGGTGCAGGTCGGGTCGGTGTTCTTGAAGGAAGCTGACGAGGTCGTCGTCCCGAAGCTTGCGCTGGCCGCCGTGGTGTCTCCGGCCACGTTGCCGTGAGTTCTCTCATGGTTGCCAGTGCAGTACACGCCACGTCCATCTGGTGGGCTCGTGGTTGGCTACCTTGGATGCCACGCGCCTCTGTCTGTGAATCGTCCCCCAGTTTTCGATGTGGTGGTGCTGCATGAGCTGTTCTGCGCGCCGCGTGGCTCGCTGGATGTAGTCGACCCTCGGTCTTGTCCTGTTGGGGCGCATTGCTCTGTGCGTCGTCGCTGCTATTGGTTTCTTGATCAGGTGCTTGAGTGGTCGTGCGGTCGTCCGCGTGTCCCTGGGTGTTGCTCGTCGAGGTTGTTTGGTGGGTAGCGCGTCGCCTTGGTGTCCTGATGATCATGCGGAGGATGCGTCGTTGTGTTCGCCGCAGGTGTTGCCGGAGAGGTTCCGTGAGCGTCCATGTCTCTGCTCCGTAGAGTGCTGCGGGTGTTACGGTCCGGCTGAAAAGCCGGAGTCGGTGTGCCAGTGGGTAGTGCTTGCTTGTCAGCTCCTGTTTGTGCGAAGTGAACGTTGCCCATGCTGCCCTCGTACGGTGGTGGATTTCAGTCCCCATCGCGTCGTGAAAGTTGATGAGTTGACCTAAGTACTTGATGCTGCCATCGTGGGGAAGGATGTCGATGTCCATGTCCTGAATGTGTACTGTGCGCGAGCTTGCCCTGCCAGTCCGTCTGGTTTGGAAGGGTGCAACTCAAGTCCGTGAGGTCGCACTGCGCGCACGATGTCGTCGAGCATCGCGGTGAGGCGCGGTAGAGTTTGGCTGGTCAGGAGCACGTCGTCGGCGAAGCGGAAGTTAGTGAGCGTGGAGGTGGTGGTGAATCCTAGCTGCACTCCCTTGCCCTTATTTAATCGCTTCGCTCATTCCGCCTGCCCATAATGTCGCACCGTGGTCGCCTGTCCGAGTGGTCGTTTGCAGTGTGGAGCTGCGGCGTCGGGAGCTGTGTAGTGTTTGGGGCGTTCTTGGGGCCCTCTTGGGCCGTCTTGGAGGCCTCTGGGGCTGTCTTGGAGCCGTCTTGGGCCGTCTTGGGGCCCTCTTGGGGCGATCTTGGAGGCCTCTTGAGCCGTTTAGGGGCGTCGGGGAACCGAAAAGGTTAAAACGCCCCAATCTGTCCAACACCAAAGGAAAAGCACAGGTTTTTGCCTCTTGGGGCCCTCTTGGGAGTTCTCTTGGAGGCCTCTTGGGGCATCTTGGAGGCTTCTTGGGCCACCTTGGAGACGTCTTGGGCCGTCTGGAGGCCACCTTGGGCGTCGTGGAGCGATCTTCGGGCGTCTCGGACCTCTCTTGGACCGTGTTGGGGGCGTTCTTGGGGCCCTCTTGGGCCGTCTTGGAGGCCTCTGGGGCCGTCTTGGAGCCGTCTTGGGCCGTCTTGGGGCCCTTTTGAGGGCCTCTTGGGCCCTCTTGGGGCGATCTTGGAGGCCTCTTGAGCCGTTTAGGGGCGTCGGGGAACCGAAAAGGTTGAAACGCCCAAATCTGTCCAAAACCTAAGAAAAAGCATTGATTTTTGCCTCTTGGGGCCCTCTTGGGAGTGCTCCTGGAGGTCTCTTGGGGCATCTTGGAGGCTTGTTGGGTCATCTTGGAGACGTCTTGGGCCGTCTGGAGGCCATCTTGGGCGCCGTGGAGCGATCTTCGGGCGTCTCGGACCTCTCTTGGATTGTGTTGGGGGCCTCTTGGGGCCCTCTTGGGGCGATCCTGGAGGATCTGGGGGAGTGTCCCGGGCTCCGCCCGGGCTCCGCCCGGGGTACTTTTGATCCAGGGACCCCCAGGGGCCGCCCCGCGCGCGCGAACTAGAAATACTGTTTACCAGTTACCGGAGATCTTAGCACGCCTCTGGCCCGTTGGGCCGGCGAATTTTGCCAGTCGGTGATTAGTGGTGCAAGAATGTGCTGTAGCAAAGCGTTGAAAAGCAAGGAGCTGAGCGGGTCGCCCTGCTTCGTTTCCTGGAGGAGACTGAATGACTTGCTGCTGACGTCAGTCCTGACCGTGGCCGTCTGCCCCTCGTACAGCTGTTGGAGCAGTGAGATGTATCCTCGTTGAACGCCCTGCGCCTCCAGTGCTGCCCACATGCTATTGTGCTCGACGGTGTCAAAAGCTTTTTCGAAGTCTAGTGCCGCTACCCACAAGTTCTGGTTCCATTCGTGCGCGCGGTTCTGGTTCCCTCTACAGGAAGAGTTTTCAAAAATAGTCAAACAATCGTCTGGGGCCGATGTTCTAGCATTTTTTGAATATTTTGCGGGTTTTCTGGGGGGTATTTTGAATTTTGCGTCCAGAATCCCCCTGTAGGGGGACACGCCCGACCTAAACCAGATGATCGGCGGAAAAAAGGGGGTCGTTTGCGCCGACATTCGTGCGCAAGTTGCCCGCGTAAGGTCGCGCGTAAGCGCCCTCGTCTCGAGTGAGGCGTGCCGCGCCGGCGGCCCGCGGAAGCTGCGGCGCAAGGTCGCTATGCCATCTCGCGTAAGACCCCTTTTTTGATCGTCGCTCAGATGGTGTCGGAGAGGATCACGTTGCATCGCCGTCGCCGAGCCATCGCTGACGTCGCAGATGTATCGCCGATGCATCGGTGATGCATCGACGTTGCGGCGCGATCTTCTTCCGACCCACTTCACTCTTTATTCCGACCCCATCCGGGAGGCCTCTAACAGCGGTGTTGGACGTAAGGACAATCATCCGTTTTTGAACGAATTCAGAAACCTGGAGCGGATATCAAAGTCTATCGGATTGAATTCATTCAACAACAGTCATAGATACACCATTTGGGCAATTCCTGGAAAACCGATACATCTGCACAGACATCTGCATTTGCATATGTGTATATATATATACATATATATACTAGAACCATCGCGCGCGCTTCGCGCGCGCTCAAGTTCTAGCCAGGATCCTCACCATCGTCATCATCGCAATCATCACCATCGTAGTCATCGTCATGGTCGTGTTCACCATTACCATCACCAGCACAACCATCATCATCACCACCATCATCGTCAGCATCGTCAGCACCATCGTCATCATCGTCGTCGTCATCGTTGTCCTCACTATCATCGTCGTCGTCATCATCATCAGCATCATCATCGTCAGCATCAGCATCAGCATCATCATCATCATCATCATCTTCGTCGGCGCCGTCGTTGTGCTCGTCATCCTCATCATCAGCGTCGTCGCCGTCATCATCATCGGTCTACTCCAGTCCCCTCCCCCTCCTCCTCATTTCCGTTCTATCTCTCCCCATCATCCTATCCTCTTGCTCCTCCTCCTCCTCTTTCTTCTCCTCGATGCCGTCTCCCTGAAGTGGATCCCTGTTCATTCACCTCCTCCTCCTCCTCCCTGTCCTCCCCGCTCTCTTCAATCTGTCCCTCCTTGTGTTCCTTCACCTCCTTCACCTCCTTCCTCCCCCCAGAACTCCACGAACGGTGCCAGGGACAGAAAAGCACGGCGTCCCTCCGCCTATCGCACACCTTTCACACGGCTCTGTTGGGAGAATTCGCCCAGCGTCTCCCCGCGTATTTCGACTCGCTCCGCACACAGCTTGTGCCCCGAAGGAAGCTGTTCCGAAGGAAGCTGTTCCGACGAGCCGTGTTGGGACTCTCTTGGGCCGTCTTCGAGGCCTCTTAAGCGGTCCCGGGGCGCTCTTGGGCCGTCTTGGGGCCGTCTTGGTGGCCTCTTGGGCCGTCTTGGGGCGATCTTGGGTGCCTCTTGGCCGTCTTGGAGCGCCAGGGAGCCCAAAAGGAGAGAAAGCCAAAAACATCGAAAAACACAATGGAAAATCAACGATTCGAGCCTCTTGGGGCCCTCTTGGAGAGCCTCTTGGAGGCCTCTTGGGGCGTCTTGGAGGCCCCTTGGGCCGTCTTGGGACCATCTTGGGCGTCTTGGAGCGATCTGGGACCGCCTCGGGGCCCTCTTGGACCATCCTGGGGGCCTCCTGGGGCCGTCTTGGAGGCCTCTTGGGTCGTCTGGAGGCTCCGGGGAGGGGGTATTAAAAAGCGTTCCCCGATGGTTGCGGAGTGGGCGGCCCCGCCGGGGGGGGGGGGGCCTATTTGTTTATATTATATATAATATATATATATATATATATATATATATATATATAATGCATATATGTATCGGCCGCTTGAACCCATTACCAAAACAAACATTGTGTTTTTATCCATTCAAACACCGCACTATGTATATGCTTTTGTTTCTCCTTCTCCTCCTTCCCAGACCCCCCCATCGCGCCGTGACCAAACGTAACGCGACGGGAGTCTTTTTGCTATGTTCGGCCACTGGGCTCTTTTTGCTGACACCAGGACCGTCAGAAAACGACTCAGGATGAGGAGCCGATTCCAGCGATGGGGTCGAGATCCCTGGGGGTCGTCGATGAGAAAAACATGAAGTTTGGGTGTTCTCGCAGACCCAGAAACGGTAGAAGCATAAACTTTCGAAGCAGCTCCGTGCGGATTTCTTGAATGGGCGCCGGGCCCCTATGCTCGCGCCTCCGGCGCCGCCCCTGACTCGCTCCGCGCGCCATGGAGGGGGGTGCAGCGCCGATCCAGGATATCCGCGC